AGGCATTCTATGCGCGCTATTGGATGCAGGGCCACATGGGTTTAGCATCACGTTGTGCCGGCTGATGCATTTACCGAACGCTCGCCGAACATAGCTGTTCTCGCCAAGTTGATGCGTTCAGGCCGTTTATGTATATCTGATGAGCAAGCTGAGTTGCATAAGCGAGTTGCCGGGAAGGCTCGGCGCGGTTCCGTGCCGAGGCCGCATCAACGTGATTAGCTCAATAGGCAGGCGATCGGATGTGCGGTTGCCCCGACGAAGTTTTCGAGGTGATTTGCAATTCCGAATTTCATATCATCTCTGTTTCGTATCTTGCGTGGTCATACCTTGTGTCATTTGCACATTCTATTTTTTTGTTCCATCTCTTGCTTCGCACGTTGGCAAATCTATGCGCGCCGTGGCCACATTTTTTGGGGGTGCTGTGATTTCAGAGCTCCTGAGGCCTCGAGAGCGTTTGCAGGCCTATGTTGGCCACAGTCGTGACAGTCGTTTCGACCGCAGCCGGCTTGGGTCAGATGTGCTCGTAGTCTGCAATTCTCATTTCCGTTCTTAGTGTTCTCGCATCTTTCCTTCTCTCTCCTCCCTCCTCCCTTTTCCTCCTTCTTCTCCGCCTCCTCCCTCCTCTCTCCTCTCCCTCCTTCTTCTCCCTCTGCTCTTCCCCTTGTCTCCCTCACGGCGGTGTCGACGCTGTCGGGGTACGGCGTCTGTTGGCCGGTTTCAGGCTTGGCGTGAGTCACCGTGTATTAAGCTGACTGTACTTGATGGCTCCCTTCGCGCACTTCCTGACTGGGTTTCAATTCATACTGCTGTGGGGTTGGGTCAACCCCTCCCAGTGTATGAGACTACGCCGGGACCTGGGGGTTTGGTTCTGCGTCCTGAGGGCTGTCCTCTTCCTCCTCCTCCTCTTCCTCCTCCTCCCTCCTCCTCCTCCTCCCCCCTCCTTCCTCCTCCTCCTCCTCCTCTTCTCCTCCTCCTCCTCCTTTTCCTCCTCCTCCTCCTCCTCCCTCCTCCTCCCTCCTCCCTCCTCCCTCCTCCCTCCTCCCTCCTCCTTCCTCCCTTTTCCCTCCTCCCTCCTTCCTCCTCCTCCTGTTCCTCCTCCTCCTCTGCCTCCTCCTCCTCCTCCTCCTTCCTCCTCTTCCTGCTTGGGATCAGCAGTTGCTTGGTTTGGGTGCTGCGTGCTCGGGTCGCCCCACTCGGACCCGTCGGGAGTGTTCGAGGCGCATTTCTCTGGGGCAGCGGCCTTGGGCAGTAAGGTCGATATTGCCCGCGAAGCCTCGGAGGCCCATAAGCGGTCTGAGTACGCGTTGGTAGGACTTCGTTCAGGGGCTCCAACTCCAAGTCCGACTCCCTCTTCCCTCCTTTCCCTCCTGCTTCTCCCCCTCCTCTTCTTCCTCCTTCCCCTCCCTCCTCCACGTGCTCTTCCCTCCCCTCCCCTCCCCTCCCCTCCTTCACTCCCTCTGTGGGCCCCCCTTGTAGGTGTCTTGGGCCCCTTTGGGTGCTTATTGGGCCTCTTCGGCCGTGTGTGGTCGATCTTGCATTTCTATTGGGCCGTTAGAGCGCGTAGGAAAACGAAGAAAACGCAAGCGGGCGTCCCTCAGGGCACGGTGTCGGATTGAACTGTTGAAATAATGAAGTATCTTTGCATTTTCAATCTCAGCAAGTAAGCTTCAACTTTCCAGATGTTATCTTTCAATATCACAACCTTTCAGGAATGAGAGAGTGAAGCACGGACATATTTTTCAATATGCAGAGTCTGGATTGAAATATCGAAACATTGATAGATTTTAAGTTGGCTTTGAAAGCTTCAATAATTCAAGCTGGACCTCCCCGGGCCCTCCATATTGAATTTGGAGAGGTTGATGAATGGTCAATCTGGAGGGTCCAGATTGACATGTTAACATTCCCCAATCAGAGCTTGCCTCTTTAGGGGTCCTCTTCGATTCATATGTGTAGGTGACCTACGTCGCCGATTTCGGTGGCCGGTCTGGGTGCCCGGGTGCCCCGGTGTCCGGGTGCCCGGGTGCCCCGGAGTACCCGGGTGCCCGGGTGCCCTGGTGCCTGGGGGTGCCCGGAGGTGCCCGGGGGTGCCCAGAGGTGCCCGGGGGTGCCCGGGTGCCTGGGTGCCCGGCTGCCCGGGAGTCCGGGTGCTCAGTAGCCCTATAGCCGTATAGCCCTACAGCCTATAGCCCTGTTGCCCTATAGCCTATAGCTCAAGAGCCCCATAGCCCTATAGCCCTATATCCCTATAGCCCTTTAGCCCTGTAGTCCTAATATCCTTATAGCCCTATAGCCCTATAGCCCTATAGTCCTATAGCCCTATGGCCCTATAGCCTTATAGCCCTGTAACCCTGTAGCCCTGTAGCCCTATAGCTATTTCCTATAGCCCTATAGTCCTATACCCCTATAGCACAAATGCACGAATAGCCCTATAGCCCTAATAGCCCTACAGCCCTGTAGCCCAATAGCCCTATAGCCCAATAGCTCTATAGCCATATAGTCCTATAGCCCTATAACCCTAACAGCCCTATAGCCCGATAGCCTTATAGCCGTATAGCCCCATAGCCCTATAGCCCTATTGCCCCAGTGGCCCTACAGCCACATAGCCCTACAGCCTCATAGCGCTATATCCCTATAAAGATTATGATTGTTTTTTCTCCGGTATCATATTTTTCAAATTGGAGGTTCGAGGTTGAATTATTGAAAGGTTGAAAGCCCGATTTGAAGATCTTTCACCCTTTTAATTTTTCAAAATGGATTCTCCTGACTGCCAGATCTTCTGATTTTTAAGCTTTCAATCCGGACCCTTCAGATTAAAAGGGTCTTTCAATTTTTCAACCCTTCAATCCGGAGGGTCCAGACTGAAATACCATTCAATCTTTCAACCTTCCAAACTTTTTCAAACCGGGCAGGTCCCTTTTCGAAATGAGAGACCTTCCTCCTGCTCTTCTTCCTCCTGCTGCTCCTCCGTCCTCCTCCCTCCTCCCTCCTCCTCCTTCTCCTCCTCCTCCTCCGTCGTCTCCTCCTCCTCCTCCTCCTCTTCCTCCTCATCCTGACACACTGCAAGCAAACTGGTGGAACAGGGGGAGGAGGCGAGGGGGGATGGAGGGAGGGAGTTGAGGTGGAGGTCTCGAGGGAGGGAGAGGGCTTCAGGGAGAGGGAGGAGGCGGCGGGGGAGCAGGAGTAGGAGGAGAGAATCTGCTACTATAAAGAACATGGCAAACGCCTGCATAAATATGTTGGCCTGCTCTCTGTAATGTACATTATAGCCAGAACGTGCTGCTGGTAGGCATGATCGATACCACCAAGTACGTGTGAGATTCGGGCCGCGGTCATGCTATGCTGCCCGAGGTTCGTGGGTGCAGATGATGGCGAGTGCAGCAAGGATCTGGGACCTCAGGACTTTCCTGGAGGATAGCCCTGAGCATATCCCGACGTTTCGACACCGTCACGTCCCCCATTCTCGAGTTCTTTTTTGCAGGACGCTGCGGATGCCCGCTCGGAACGTCGATCCTGGCCTTGTCCGTTGATCCGTCGTGGTCCAGGGCTGTTCGCAGAGCCGCGAACCGATGTGCGAGCGCCTGCCTGCCCCATGGCGCCACGAGCTGCATCGAGGCAGTGGCCGCTGGCGGACCAGCCGCACGGTGTGCCACGTGTGTTGGTCTTTGGTCGCAGGACCTGCTGCCCAGCACTGCGCGCAGTGTTCGCCCCGAGTGATCGTCGTGTTCGCGGGCAGGCGGACGAACAGTCGGTTCTCCGCCTACGGACTGCGGCCTGATCCCAATCGCCCCCCCTTGGCAAGTGCCACTTCTTCCTGCTTCTCTCACGCTCGTTCCCTTCTCTCCTCTCCTCATCCTCCTCCTCTTCCTCGTCCTCCCTGTCCCTTCTCTTGCTGCGTCTTGGTGATACCTGTCAAATCATCACTCTCATCTGCATCTGCCCTCAATTCATGTAATTCTCGGAGCCTCCAAGCATCACGGCAAATAAGGGCAAGGGAATAGCAGGCGAGAGCGGGGGTATTGAGTACGCCTTCTCCTTTATCCGTATAGCAATTCGGTGCTTGCTTTTAGGGGCACTATGAGGGGTGAGGTCTTGGGCGACATGCCCGGATCGTAATACGGACACGTCTGGTGGTGCGACAGTGAGGAGCTCGTTGGAAGGAATCCTGGATGGAGTGAGGGGGGGGGGGTAGGAAGCAGGAGAGAGGATGCAGGGTCCACGACGGGGGGAGGAGCCGATGAGGGCAGAGGCGGAGGCGGGTGAGGAGGAGCACGATGAAGGAGATGAGTGGGGGACTTGGGACTCATATTGGTGTACATGCCTCCGCGACCAAGCCAGCAGGGGGATACTCACCGATCACTCTGGCCCAAGCTGTGCGTGAGAGGGCGAGTGCACCTCCCCTCAACCCTTTTTTTCTTGGGAGCATGCATGAGGACGAGGAAGGGGGAAGATACTGAGGGAGGAGGAGGAGGAGGAGGAGGAGGAGGAGGAGGAGGAGGAGGAGGAGGAGGCGGAGGCGGAGGCGGAGGAGGAGGAGGAGGAGGAGGAGGAGGAGGAGGAGGAGGAGGAGGAGGAGGAACATGAGCATGAACATGAACATGAACAGGCTTGCGGACTCCCGCAATGAACGCCTGACAGCTGACCGTTCGCCAGCAGCACAAGATCACATTAGGAGTCTGAGATGGGTCGGCACGAACCCCACTGGGACGATGAATCTGGCCTGCGGCGCTCCGCTGGAGCGGCACAGGCGAGGCTGGGAGCAGCAGGAGGGGGAGGAGGAGGAGGAGGAGGAGGAGGAGGAGGAGGGGGAGGAGGAGGAGGAGGAGGTGGAGGAGGAGCTTGAGGAGGACAGGCAGCCAGAAGCCGTACGCCCAAGGCGCGTTGACTGGAGTCAAGAGTAGGGAGGACGGAGAAGGAGGGAGGGGTGAGGGGAATCTGGCGGGGGGGAGAGACGGAGGAGGCTTTTCAGAGGCCCAGGTTCGTTCACACCCTCCGTCCCGTAGGTGGCCAGCGATCCCGACGCAGCGTGCTCCAAGACCGCGTGCAGCCTTGGGTCGACGTGCAGCCACGATCTGGACCTCTCCAGCGCGGACGGCGAGCAGAGCGCGACCCTGCTCACACCCAAAGTGGATGAGCAGCGGGCTGCCCTCCTCGAGGAGGACCGGGCGCTGTTCGACCTGGACGCCCGCCGCCGCGAGGCCGCGCGGGCGGCCGTGCCGCACCTGCGGCGGCGGGCCGACGGGCTGCTGGCGGGCGTCGCCGCGGAGGCGTGCGCGGACGCGGTCCACTTCTGCTCCGACGACACGCTGACGCGCTACCTGATGACCTCCGAGGGCAACGTGGAGAAGGCCGCCAGCATGCTGAAGGCCAGCCTGGAGTGGCGCGCCAGCTTCTTCGAGGGGATCGACATGGCCTTCGCGAGGAGCAGCGGCAGCGCCCCCCCGAGGACGCTGTGTCCGTGCTGCCAGTCGGACCTCGGAAGCGGAGCAAATGCCGGCGCGCCCGGTCGTGGATGATCAGAGCAGGTGTACAATGGGGAGGAGCATGCAGCGTGGCACAGTGGGGGGAGCGGGTTCGCAAGACGAGGCAAGTGCGCACGTCGCCCACGATTCCAGCCCTTCATCGGCCGTGTTCTGATCTTGATAAGATCAGTGGTCAATTCCTCTACTCCCGCCTCCTTTCTCCTCATTCTTCTTCTTCTTCTTCTTCCCCATCCTCATCCTTGTTACCCTTTTTCCCATGCATCCCTTTGCTCTTATCGGCCTCCGCTTCGTTTGCCCCGCACCTGCTAGATCTAGATCTTGTCGGCCATCGCTCCTGCTCTCTCTAGTTGGTCTCTCAGTGGGTGCTGCCCAGCGCAGCACTGTCGCCATTTCATGCGTCTTTGGTGCTCAGCTGAGCGCCTCGCCACGTGGACACAGACAAGCTACACCGTGCCCCATCGTCTGCACGCTGTGAGTTCAGTTGTCTGCGCAGGTCTCTGGACCAGCTCTCTGGCAGAAAACGCCTCGTCCCCAGGTGCTGTTCGGATGCAACTCCTGGGAGGTCACATTCTGATTTAGCCCTGGTCCGAAATCCCGCTTAATCCGGCTTAATCCCACTTAATCCCGCTTAATCCGGCTTCATCCAGCTCAATCCCGCTTCGTCCTGCTTGATCCGAGGCCCACTCTGGCTTAACAGCCACCCAATGGGGCTTAACCCTCCTTAGTCCTTCCGACGAAAACTCGCAGGCCTAGAGGTTGACACCAACACCAAGATCGGCGGTGTGCCTCAACCGAGGGAAGACGATCCCGATCTCGGTGATGGTGGTAATATTCTGGCTGCCAAGGTGACCGAAATATTGCCATCAGCACCGAAATCTAGGATCATCTTCCCCCTGAGGAAGCAACGCCTTGTGTTGGTGTTGGTGCCAATTTCTAGGCCTCCAAAAAACCTCCCAGTAGTTGCCTCCTGAGTGCTGCCAGACAGGCGGGCGCGGCCACTTCCTGGGCGCCGGGGGAGTCCTGGCAGATGGCCGCACGGCCGCACGGTTCCACGCCGGACCGCTCCCTCCCGAAGTGCCCGCCGCCACTTCGTGCGCCCGCGGGGGGGGGCCCCCAGCGGAGCGCCCGGCCGCGTGAGTCCAGTAGGGGGCCACATGCGATCCCTACCCCTACCCCCCTACGGAAATCGTGGGGGGTAGGGGTATTCCAAATCCCTTATTAATCGTCCCCCGGGTCCGGTTTTTTAAGGCGCCTTTTTGGTCATTAAGGGGGTCCGATTTATTAGGCCGCTTTCTTTGGATTGGAGCTGAGGGGGTCTGGTTTATTAAGGCGCCCCATCGAAGAGGGGGTCCGGAATATTAGGTCGCATTTGGAGGGGGGTCTGGTTTTTTTAGGGGGGGTCGATTAATAAGGGATTTGGAGCGGAGCGGAGCGCCGGGCCGCGTGAGTCCAGACCGGAGGCGGCCTCCTCGCGCGAGGTCGGGCGCAGAGCTGCCCCCGACTCCCGGGGCCCCCCTGGGATGCCCCTCGCGGGGCCGGCCGCTCGTGGGCGCGCAGAGCAGCCCTCGCCCCCCTGTGCTCCTGCACACTGCGAGCAGTGAGGAGGAGGAGGAGGAGGAGGAGGAGGAGGAGGAGGAGGAGGAGGAGGAGGAGGAGGAGGAGGAGGAGGAGGAGGAGGAGGAGGAGGAGGAGGAGGAGGAGGAGGAGGAGGAGGAGGACGAGGAGGAGGAGGACTCCCCTCCCTCCCCTGGCCCTGTCCAGAAGACGTCGCGCCCTCTCCGCGTGATGCCCTCGCGCAGGTTCGAGGGAGTGGTTTCTCTGAGCTGCTTTTCCAAGCGGATCGTCCTCGTTTTTTTTTTTTGTTGCCAGCGTCGGGCGAACGCTCCCCCCCGTGTCTCATGACGGGCGAACATCGAACGCCGACCTGGGTGTTGCCGAACATCGATCCTACCCCTCCCCTCTTGGGTGGGAGTAACACGTGGACGGGCGGCGACGACGACGGTGACGACGACGGCGGCGACGACGGCGACGACGACGACGACAGCGGCCGCGGCGGCCGCGGCTATTGCGCAGGCGGCGTCCGCGGCGGGGGGAGCCTCTGCGGCGGGCCGGGCGGCGCCCGGCGTCGCCAAGACTGGTCGCGGCATCGGGCCGCGGGCGCGCGGGCGGGCGTGGGCGCGGCGCTTCCGAACATACAGTGGATGGATTTACCCTTCCTCCGACTTTGCACTGTGCCGAACGCAGCGGCCGCCTTGTCTGTAGGCATGTCCACCCCGAGTGTGTCTATGCACGCAGCGACTCCCGATGTGTCTGTGCATGTGTGTGGCTAGACAGTGAGAGCAGTGTCTGGCATAGGCCCCAGGTTCTGATCTTCCAGAAGCATGTACGCTGTCCTCCATACACTTTGGGATGTCGAGGGGAGCTGCCCACTCGCGGGTTTCGTCTGCACCTGTTTCTGCCAGGCCGTGGCGCCGCGGCTACTTTTTCTGCGGCCCCCTGGAGGAGGAGAAGGAGGAGGATGCGGATGACCAGTGTAAACCCAAGACGCACAAACGATGTTGCAATGAAGCCTCCCTGTAAGTTCCGTCTTCATGGTTCCGGGCAAGACTTTCTTGTCATTGCAATTCTGCCAAAACACAGTTCATGGGAATGTAGCGCCGCGAACCAGCATGACTCGTGCATCGTGGCAGTCCTAAGCCGTGCCAGAACACCACATATGGGACGTCAACAGTGAGAATCAACATGCCTGTTACGTTCGTAGGGGGCCAGATGCGAACCCTACCCCATACCCCCCACGATTTCTGAGGGGGAGGGTGAGGTTCTCTTCGCTCGGGAGCTCCCGAGCGAAGAGAACCTCACCCTCCCCCTCAGAAATCGTGGGGGGTATGGGGTAGGGTTCGCACGTGGCCCCCTAGGTCGGACAATCCAGAGTCGCGCCAGAACGCCGTTCTTGGGGCCTCCGCAGCGCAAACCCTTGAGAACGTGCTGGAGACTTCCGAGGCGAGCGTGCCCGGCGCCCGAGCGAGAGCCACGCACTGCAAGAGGGAGCCGCCTCCCATCCGTCACGCCCGTGAGCCCTTTTCAGGGCGACTGTGCGCGGCGCTGAGGCGAGAGCCACATCTTGAACCCCCCCCCCGTCCTCCATCTTGGCAGCTGCTGCGAGCGTCCCAGACGAGTGTGCGCGGCGGTCAGGCGAGAGCCACATTCTGAGAACCCCCTGTCCTCCATCTTAGCAGCCGTTGCGGACGTTCCAGACGAGTGTGCGCGGCGGTCAGGCGAGAGCCACACGGTGAGGACGGCCCGCCCTCCAGCCGCGACGCCGTTCCGCGCCTCAAGCCCGTCAGAGTCGTAGACGGTGTGGGAGGCTCCGGCCACACGGCCGGCACGCCCTGGCGACACGTCTGGGGGTGCGACAGGGAGGGGTTATTTATCATGAGAGGGGATGGAGGAAGAGGAGGAGGATGAGGAGGAGGAGGAGGAGGAGGAGGAGGAGGATGAGGAGGAGCAGGAGGAGGAGGATGAGGAACAGGGAGGGGTTATTTACAATGAGAAGGGATGGAGGAACAGGAGGATGAGGAGGATGAAGAGGAGGAGGAGGAGGAGGAGGAGGAGGAGGAGGATGAGGAAGATGAGGAAGAGGAGCAGGAGGGGGGTTAAGAGAAGCAGGATGGTGGTGGTAGGGGTGGTCGCTGCATACGTAAGGGAAAAAGTCCCGAGCAGAGCAACACGCACCACGACCACTACGACGCCGACGACGACGACGAAGAAGACGCGGCGCGCTGACGATCCGCACCGAAGCGCGGATTAGGGAAAGGGCCCACCCTGCAGGTTCGGTTAAACAGCACATCGTTGAGCGGTGCTGCAGCCTCCCCTGAGCACAGGCTTCCCAGAGTATCAGCCATTCAAGTCGAGTTTGTACCCTCACGCCTTGCTGGACTCTGGGCGCGTTTCGGTTCTGCCACTGCCGCCGCCACCCCCTCGTCAGGGCCACCGATTCGGGTAACGGCGACAGCGACAGTGGCGGTGGCCGACGCGTCCCAGAGCTCACAAGCTCTCAGCACCGCGGCTCAGAAAGCCAGGAAGACAGACAGACGGACGGACGGACGGACAGCCAAGCGGAGTGCAATGCCTGGCGCCCCAAGTGGGTGGCCACCGCATAAGGGAAACAACTCCCGAACAGAGCAACACGCACCGCGACCACGACGACGCCGACAACGACGACGAAGAAGACGTGGCGCGCTGACGATCCGCACCACACGGGTTAGGGAAAGGGCCCACCCTGCAGGTTCGGTTAAACAGCACATCGTTGAGCGGTGCTGAGGAGCAGAAGGGGCGATGAGTACTAGGAGGGTGATGAGGATGAGGATGAGGAGGCGGAGGATGATAAGGAAGATGAGGAGGAAGAGGAGGAGGAGGAGGAGGAGGAGGACAAGGAGGAGGAGTAGGATGAGGAGAAGGAGGAGGAGGAGGAGGAGGAGGAGGGGAGGAGGAGGCGGGGGGGGGGTTCCGAAGGAGCAGGATGAACGATGACGATGATGACGGCGACGACGCCGATGATGATGAACAAGAAGATGAACATGATGATGATGATGATGATACTGATGACGATGGTGGTGATGGTGATGATGATGATGATGATGATGATGATGATGATGATGATGATGATGATGATGATGATGATGAGGGTGCTGAGGATGATGATGGTGCTGCTGCTGCTGACGATGAGGATGGTGATGATGATGAGGGTGATGATGCTGATGAGGATGATGTTCATGATGACGATGCTGCTGATGATGACGGGGATGCTGCTGCCCATGATGATGGTGGTGGTGATGATGATGATGATGATGATCATGATGACGATGCCGATGCTGATACTGCTATGGATGATGGTGGTGGCAATGATTATGAAGATGGTGATGCTGATGGTGATGATGCTGATGCTGATGCTGATTATGATGGTGACGATGCTGATTATGATGATGATGCTGATGCTGATGCTGATGCTGCTGATGCTGCTGATGCTGCTGCTGATGCTGCTGCTGAGGCTAATGATGCTGATGCTGATGCTGATGCTGTTACTGACGATGATGCTGAGGCTGATGCTGCTGCTTCTGATGATCATCCTGATGATGATGCAACTCATGATGCTGATGATGATGACGGTGATAATGCCGATGGTGCCGACGATGTTGATACTGATGATGATACTGATGATGCTGATGATGATGATTGTGGCGATGATGCTGATGCTGATGACGATTATGATGATGCTGCTGATTCTGATGCTGATGCTGCTGATGATGCTGATGATGACGATGCTGATGATGATGCTGATGATGATGTTGGTGATGCTGCTGATGTTTATGCGGCTGATGTTGAAGATGATGCTGACCATGCTGTTGCTGCTGATGATGCTGATGCTTAGGATTTTGATAATGCTGCTGCTGATGCTGATGATGAGGATGATGCTGATGCTTATGATGATGCTGAGGACGAAGACGATGATGATGAGGATGGCAACGATGATGAGGCTGATGCTGTTGTTGTTGATGGTGATGATGATGCGGATGATGATGATGATGATGCTGATGCTGATGCTGACGATGATGATGATGCTGATGCTGTTGATGATGATGATGATGACGATGCTGATGATGATGATGATGATGATGATGATGATGCTGATGATGATGTTCACGACGATGATGATGATGATGATGATGATGATGATGATGATGATGATGATGATGATGATAATTATGCTGATGCTGATGCTGATGCTGATATGGATGCTGCTGCTGATGATGTTGATGATGACGATGACGATGATGATGCTGCTGCTGCTGATGATGATGATGATGATGATGATGGTGATGATGATGATGGTGATGGTGATGCTGATGATGCTGCTGCTGCTGCTGCTTGCTTGATTAAGGATGATGATGATGATGAATGATGATGATGATGATGAGGAGGGGAGTGAGGAGGCGGAGGAGGAGAGGATGTATGAGGGAGGAGGACGAGGAGGGGGCAGGAGAGGAAGAGGAGGAGGGGCGGAGGAGGAGGATGAGGAGGAGGTACTGAGGAGGAGGAGGAGGAGGAGAAGGAGGAGGAGAGGGGGAGAGGAGAGGAAGTAGGAGGAGGAGGAGGAGAGGAGTAGGTAGGAGGAGGAGGAGAGGAAGAGGAGAGGAGGAGATGAGGAGGAGTGAGGAGGAGGAGGAGGAGGAGGACGAGGGAGGAGGTGGGGAGGAAGGAGGAGGAGGAGGAGCAGCAGCAGCAGCAGCAGCAGGAGGAGGAGGAGGTTCGCTGAGCCGGGTTAGGCGCCAAACGTTGTGGGAGGGCAGGGGATGTCCCTGGGGACGCCCCGCAGGACCCCAGGCAGCACAGCTTCTTCCGCATCGGCAGCGACGCGGCTGGCCGCGACGTCATTTACTCGTGCGCTGGGAGGGCCCTCAATAAGAATTGCGAGGACGGGATGGCATCCTCCTCCTCCTCCTCCTGCTCCTCCTCCTCGCCCTCCTTGAAATAGCCTCCTCCTGCTCGGCAATTGGCCTCCGCCCTCGTCGTGAAAATATTGGTTCGAACAAAAGAGTAGCTGCGAGGACGGGATGAAACATATGGCCCTGGAGCTCGAGAGGATGTTCCGCGGCAGCAGCTCGCCTGGGCAGGAGCGGGGTTCGGGGAGGGGCTCCGGGAGAGGGGATGGCTCCCTTCTGCTGCTCCTCCTCCTCGCTCCTCCTCATCGCCTTTCCTTCTCCTTCTCCTCCTCCTCCTTCTCCTTCTTTCGCGTCGGTCGGACTTCAATCGGCCAGATTGTCCTTCTTCTTATCCTCCTACCCCTCCTCCACTTATTCATCGGTCCTCGTCATCGTTCCTCTTCGCTCCTCCTGATCGCTTCTCATCGCTCCTCCTCCCCCCTCTCCCTTTCCGCTTCCACCTCCTCTTCATCATAATCACCATTATCATCAGCATCCTCATCATCAACATCATATTACTACTTTTATCCATCATTGTACAGCTTATTATCATTATTTGTTATCACGCTTACTATTATCATTATTGTTATTGTTGTGGTTATTTTTATTATTATAAGTATCACCAGTTGTTGTTAGTACGTTTGTTATGCTTTTCAATTTGATTTGTTCTTATCGTAATGATAGTACTATTAATTCCATCGCTATTATTACCAGTCATGCTCGTACAGCTGTGGTAAGTGTTAAGTACTAGTAAAGCTACTCGTATCATCACGACTCTTCTCATTCTCATTACTGTCATCATCATCACCAACAGCATCGTCATTACCATCATAATCATCACCATCATCACCATCACCACCACCATCGCCACCACCAACACCATCACCATCACCATCACCATCGCCATCACCATCACCATCACCACCATCATCACCATCATCAGCATCATCACCATCGTCAGCATCACCAGCATCATCACCATCATCATCTTCAACGCCATCATCTACGCCATCATCAACGCCAGCATCAACATCATCGCTTCTTGTTCCACACTTTTGATGCCCCACCTCCTCCCCCTTCTCGGGCGGTGGAATGGGGAGGGGATGGATGGGAAAGGAGGGGGAGAGGGGGAAGGACGGAGGGATGGAGAGGCGGATTGGGATTAAAGGGCAGATGGGGTGGGGTAGGGAGGACGGAGGGATGGAGAGGCGGATTGGGATGGAAGGGCTGAAGGGATGGAGGGCAGGAGGGCATGGAGGGGCGAATCGGGATGGGTGGGTGGGTGGAGTGATGA